CCTTAGAGCATTCTTGCATATTTGCATATCCTATCACCTTAGAGCATTCTTACATATTTGCATATCCTATCACCATAGAGCATTCTGACATATTTGCATATCCTATCACCATAGAGCATTCTGACATATTTGCATATCCTATCACCATAGAGCATTCTGACATATTTGCATATCCTATCACCATAGAGCATTCTGACATATTTGCATATCCTATCACCATACATGAATGTTGATTACCATTAATTTATCTTATTGTGATTGGGAAAATTATTTTTGGAGTATAACTATTTTTACAGTGTGGGGGATGTGTTAGTAACATTATTCAAGCCGTGACTGTTTTCTAATTCAGTATGAATTGCTACTAGACATGATTGAAACAAATTTATGGCACAAAAATGTTGAGGTTTGTAGAATTTGATTTGCAGCTTTATATATCACACACATTTTAACCAACATCTAAAACTACCAGAAATATTTAAATAAATATACTTGCTAATAATAATGCTTATTTAGTAATTTGGTGAAAGTCGGCCATATTGTCTAAAGGTCAGTCTGCTTGCATCGACCCAGGGATCCCATGCTGGTCTGCACCAGTCGATACACGCATGGCGTCGGCCACTGGACCATCATACTATTATCCTTGTCGGTTTTAACAGACAATTACACAGAACAAAACTTGAATGAAACAAGTGGTCTAATGTATTGTAATCTCCTCTGCTTGACATCTGATAAACCAGATCAGAATAAGTCATACATCAAGATTATGGAAGAGAAGAAAGTGATACATAGATGAGCAGAAGGATCAAAGGTTTACCATTGCAGTTTAATTCTGTGTAGGATTTGTCAAACAAGTTGTTTGTTTAATCTACACTTGCACTCTACTTTAAGCTTCATGGCTTTGCGACTCATTCATAAAAATTAAATTCAGAAGCTATGTTGAATCACTGATACAAGGAATACTTATTTCTCACTATTAATGTGTTTTACTAAAATTCCATTAGAAAATAAAACAGATTAAATTCTTGTTTCTACTTTTTGACCTTCATGCATCCATGCAATTCCACCTGTATCTCAAATATGTCTGCTCTGATCAAATGCAAGCTACACAAATATATCACATATCTTGAAACATATGCAGGTCTATTCATTTCTTGATTTGATTTGATTTGATTTAAGATTATCAAATAATGACCATTTATAGTGGTGTATGGATGGATTTCTTTCAAACTTGGTATACACTTGGATATTTTGTGTTTTAATGAATGCAATTCCAGAGCCACATCTCTGACATGATTTGACCATTCATGTCCAAACTTTATATATATGTCATACATCATGTCACACCATATGCACATGTAATTGTTCGATGATCAGATTCAAGCATTTCTGCCATCCCAGAGCCAAATTATGTATGCACAGATCTTGTTCAGATTTGGTACAAACATGAGTCGTTATAGGACTATATCAACTCGTTTTGGTTTCCCGATTGGATTAAAAATAGTTGACTGGTAGCCATTTTGTTTAGCAAATGGTGTTATATAGCCATATCTGTGACATACCCTAACTGGTTATGTTTAA